AGTTTTGTTTTTGTTCTGAGTTTTGGTTTTGAGATTTGGTTTTACTTCAGTTAGTGTTTGTTAGTATTTATACATTTTTAATCAAAAAAATTTGTACAGTCGTTTTTTTTTTGTTCGTTTAGTATTATTGGATTACATAGTGTTAAAAAAGGCTCATGTTGTGGATCAATAGGTCGTGATGAGATTTTCATATGAACTCTTTCATGTTGCTTTATCGCAGTTTTTCATGTATATACAATTTTTTGCATTTTTGTCAGGGCTACCTTTAATCATCATAGTTCAAGTAATACAGTAGTTTGAAATGTATGACTAAATAATGATGTGTTTCTGAGTCTCAGTGAGGATCTGTTTCTGGTGAGTGTGCATGAGGAAGTGAGAGAGAAAAGCAAGATGCGGTGCAGAGGGCAAATGGTCACATCTCCACATCTAGGGGCCCCACAGCAGGGAGTGCTGCAAAGTAGCTTTTGCTTTAAGCACTATGATGTGCACATCAGACTGCTCAAGCAGACAGATTAAAATAAAACTGGATATACAACAACAGCTCTGTTTAAACTTATATGCCTGAGATAGAAAATGCCACATCTGTGCTGAGAAGCCAATTCGAATACGCCCACTCGATCAAAAATTTCGCCATAAAAGTGCAATAAATCAATGTAGATGTGTGTTTTCCCACTTTAAGATACTTTCCCCAGGTAAACTGATTCATGATTCACTTTCACGGCCTCCTTAGAACAAGTGTTGAGAATTTGCACTTGTGCTAAATCATTGCGGCAATACACCTGCTTTGTCCAATGTTTGTCAAATGAGAAAAGCACTGATTAAAATAAACTGGGTTGAAACCAAGTTCAATAGAAAACTGCATTTGTGATCCTGAATAAAATGGACATTTTTCATTTTGTAATGAAATGTCTGATGTAACTACTGTATATGCATTTCTCTTTGGCTTCATCTTGCATTGTTTTACTCTGCCGTACACTGCCAGGTCGCAACTGCAAGTGAAAATATGTTCAAAATGGGCAATACTGCATAAATAAAAGCGACTTGAATATTGTACACTTTTTCAAACTGTGGTTGTAATTTGTAGATCCAGGAAAGCACGTCAAAGATGAGGACAGTGCAGATGACCATATTAGGAGTCAGGAAGTCATACGATAAGCTGATGACATCAGATTCAGAGCCATCGAATGGGACTCTCCCACTTGCCACGCTTTTTGGAAGGTATGGTGAAATGTTTGCTGGCCAAAAAAGAGAGTCTAAAAATAAATCGTGATTCGGTGTTGCGACAAAGTTTGTCCAAAAGGCGTACTGTGGTTCGGCCAGCCTCCACGTGCAAACGGTGAAGTCAAACCAGATGCCACAATGCTTGTCAATACTGAGCATCGAAGAAACATTATTTTTACCTTTTATTGTTTTGGTCTATTAGGCGCACCCTGGACAGAAGCACGAGCTCGCAGCTGCGCTGGCTGGAAACAGCAAGCGTGGCCGTGGCTACTCCATGGAGTATCCCTCCAAGAGGCGCCAGCGTTCAGTGGAGGAATCTGTCATGCATAACTTCAGCCAGGACATGCCGGGAAGATTGTCACAAGGTGAGGAAAAATGAAATCGAACAATAATGGTGTCCCTTTAATTTTCTCTCAGGTTTCAGTTTCGTATGTTTCCATTTAAAATGAACAAAAACGTATTTCTAATGCTGCTAATTTAATTCGTCTTTGTTCAATAGCAGATTTATGAAATTGTTTTCAAATTCCAATTCCCAGGTGGTTTGTGGAGACACTTTCCCCCCCTCAGACTTTGTGAACACCCCGACACAAGGGAGATGTTTGTCTACCTCTGTCCTCAGTTGCACCTCATGTCCAGGAGGACCCTCGGGAGGCAACGAGGTGAGCTGATGAAACAGGCCAAGCTGCAACTCGACAACCTGCTGCAGAAGCAGGCGTGGGTGGGAACCACTGCTGACAGCTGGTCGGTGTGCGGCAACCCTGGCGTGCAGGGAGAGAAATTAAAACAAAAATTGTTATCTTGATTTGAATGATATCACTTAGCCCCTCGTGTTT